TGTCTCTCTATCCATATTGTCAGCTGTGTATCTCTGTGTTGATTGTCATCTCCTACAAGAAGAAGTATAGAGAACATGAGTGCTTACAGAGAAGCCCTGGAGAAACCAGGAATATTAATCATGAAGGATCATCTCCTCATGTGGAGGAGATATTCAACTCACCCAGAAGGCTGGGAATAGATGCTGTTAATAACCTGGTGACCTTTCCTATCTGTAGGGACAGGCCTCATCCAAACTCCCAATGTTTATCCCAGACTCTCCCTCCCTAGGCCTTTATCTTTAGCTTTGTTTCCCAATCAGTAGAACCCATCCTTGGGGAAAATGTCACCTGCACTTTATAGCCTGCTGCCCTCTACACTATCTCAGTCAGAGACCACACCACAACCTAGGTACCTAAGCTATAGAACCCATCTTCATGGTAGAGGTCACATGTACTTTGCAAAAGAGTTTTTCTGTAGTCATACTTTAAGCTTTATTGAGCACATGGTATTGAGATCATTGTTACCAGGAAACTTTTTTTCAAAATTGTTCCATACTTAGATATCTGAAAATAAACTGGCCTGGTGTCAGACTCCTGAAGTTTAAATCAGCCCAGTTAAGTTGTGTTGAACTGAATTTCTTTCTTGCCTCTAACAGTTCATTTCTTTACCAGCAGTAGAGTTTGCAAGGGCCATCACAAAGAAGCTTCACTGATGAAGGCTGATTGATGTTCAACTCTATGGGTATAACAATATGTCATTAGGAGTCATTGTAGTACTTGCTACCTTTCATTTAGAAGAAGAATAGTAGGAGGTTGTCCTCTTAGGGTTTGCTCATAAAATGCCATTAATATACTGAGTGAAAGTCGGGTGAGTTAGAAGTTGCTCCCAAACCTACGAGGTGGGGCCTCCATTACATTTTATTTTGTAATGACTTAAAGAAGAAATGGTTTGTTTTGGCTCCTACTTCCAAGGATGGTCCTTCGTGGCCGGGAAGGTATGACACCTGAAGATTAAGGCAGCTGGCCAACTACATCCACAGTCAGGGAGAAATGAATGCTGCTGTTTGCCTCACTTTCTCCTTTTCATTAGGAGCAGGCCCCCAGCACATAGTATAGTGCCCTCTATGGCTAAGGTGAATCTTCTCATCCCAATTAACCTCATATAGAAAACTCTTCACAGACATGCCCAGAGACGTGTGTCCAAAGGTTCCATTGATCTGACATCAAAATTATCTATCACAGAAGATTTACAAAACTATTATTATCTGAGTTTTGCAATAAAACAATTAGTACAGTACATGCAAAAGATAAAAATGGATTTTTCAATCACAGAAAATTACTTTGAAGGATTAAAATTTGATCCACCACCTCCTAATCATAACAAAAATAACCGTTTCAGCCAAATTTTGCATTATGAATTCAGGGGCTTTCTACTCCTATCCCTCTCTTTCTTTTGTAATTATTCCCCGTTTCCTAATACCAGGCTTCTTGTTGAATTGCTAATAGAATACAGGAAATGCCTGAGGAATTTAATTCAGATGTAAATGGAATTATTTGGGTTGTTTCTGTCTCTGCTTTTAAAAAATTATAATATGACACAGTGTGCTAATGCTGAAAGCCCCACCGATTTCCCAGCTTGACACTTGATTAATGGGGGGGGGGGTTGTGGATCTGTGACTGCAAAATTGAGAGAACCCACCCACACACCCATGCCCACAGCGAAAGAGAAATAAAGTCTTTTCAAAACAACAGCCTGTTTTGTCCTGCTGATTTTCCTTGGTTCCCTTTTCTTTTCTTTCCTCCTTATTTTATGTAACCTCAACAGGATTATAGTTACAGTTCTAAATTTATTTCTGGGTTCAGCCTAAGTAGGAATTACACCCAAGGAAGCAGGCCACCACCCTCGTGTTAAGCCATCTCATGGAAACATATTATGATGAAGGAAACACCCACGGGCCTGCACAAAGTGGCATATACTGACTGCATTAAAAACAAACAGGTGATACCTGTGCATATACTTAGCCTGAAATCTGCAAGTTCCTTTGAAGATAAAATAGGACAAAATGAAAAAATAATCACAGTTTAGGATGAAAGTAAACTGTTGTGGATTGTACCTTAAATGTCTCCCACCAAAGCTCAAGTCTTGAGATACTGGGAGGTGGTAGCCACTTGAAGAGGTGGGGCCTAGTTGAAAGGCACACTCCGGGGAGACATAGTGGGGAGGACTGTATTGGCCACACCTGCAGACCCTGGCAGTGGTCCTTCATGGTCACCAGGAAATGAACAACTTTGTTCTACCATGTGCTTTTTGTCATGATTTCTGCCTCGCTGTAGACCCCAAGTGACAGAACTAAGCAACCATGGATTGCAACTATGCAAATGTAGACTCAAAGATATCTTTCTTCCTTAAAAACTGGTTGTCTCGGGCATATTGCCATAGCAACAGAAAATTAATACATAACTACTGTGTGAGAGGCTCTAACTTTTAAAGTAAGCATTCATATCCTCAAAATCAGCTTTTTCTTTCTTTGTAGGGTTGCATATTTTATGGCGTGGACAGTGGAGAGAATGGTGACCTGTCCATTAGCTCTTTCAGAGGTAGATTTAACACTCTCAAAAGTCTCTTTTAAATCTTAGGTCCTGAGTCTACGATTCTTCATTCTCTAGCTTCTGTGTGCTAGCACAGTCATTCGACATGACATTTCATGGCCAAAAATGTCACAGTAAATAATTCCAACACCAAATGAATGTTTAGAAAAGCAAAAATCAGTCCTAGTCCAAGGACATTTAAAAGGAGACGGAAATAGTCAAATATCAAACAGATAAGTACATAAGAGATAGGTGGCCATATCTTTATATGCATGAATTTAAATATTTAAAAATTTTACATCAAAATATTACGATATTAAGGGTATTATAGCTAGGGACGCCAATAAGCAATCCATTTACTTCTTTAAACCTTCCTATGTGTCTGTATCCCACAACTGAAGTTTTATATTAGTATTTACTTCAGATGATATTAACACCCAAACCCAGAAATTAGGGGAAAATGGGCTCAGACCACCGAGACCACCCTGGCTTGGCTCATCTCTCAGTACATTTCCCCATCACATGACCATGGGAGAACCACTCTTGTTGAAGTTGAACTCACAGAATTTGCCAACTGTGTGAAGACTGAATTCATGAGAAGGGAGAATCAATAGACAAAATTATTGAGTAATATGTGACACTTTCCTAACCCGACCATTAGAAAATGGAGCAACATGTTATTTGCAGTAGTATTCTTGGTATTATTAAAAAGATAAAAAGAAGAGCCTTTGATTGCCGTTCAGTGTTAGAGTGCCTGGCTAGCATACGAGATGCTTGGAGCAATGAATTTGATCCCCAAGAGGCCTTTCCCCAGAATAGAAAGGCAAAAGAGAAGAAAAAAGGAAAAGATGCAGATATATTGGAAGAAATTATAAGCAATTTTAAACATAGAACTTGTAAAAGTATATTCATTAAGCTTTTTGATGTCACCTTGTATACTAGCCAGCAGATTAGTTATAGTTACAAAGAAAATGACAGAGATTAGAAGAAGCAACAGAATTATCAGTCTATCTAAATAAAAGCTGCACAAAAATGTAGGAAAGAGAAAATAGGAAGAACCTTATCCCATCAAAATATTCAACATTCCAAAAGTACTGAAGGATAATAAAGAGATACTAGCTACAAATTTGTCAGAAGTGTTAAAAATTAGGAAGAGATTTAGAAGCCACATGAATTTCATGCAGGTTTCTTAAAAGAACTCTTTCCTAAAGAGAATATGAAGAAGCTTCGGAAAAGCAAAAGGAAGGGGGAAATGTTAACCAATCAGGAAAGAAGCAAATTAAGCATAAAAGATAAACCTAGTTGTGGTTTGTACACTCGTCATTTGTGTACACATCCATTCTGTATTTATGACTCCTGGGTACTAGTCTAGTTTTTGAAGATCTAAGTGAGCAAAACAAATTCTAAAACATTGTCTTTACAGAGCCTACCCCAGAACACAGTAACAGAATCTGCAAAAGAGAAATAAGAAATTAGTGTAAATCCAGAATTTATACTCTAGCAGTATTCTAGGTGCTGAGTTATGTTGATGGGTTTTTCATGGATAAATCCTACCTTCAGAGATCATGTACAAGGATGGGTGAATAGATGTAGATAAAAGCTTCTAAGTTTTTCTGTTACCATACTTAGGTGTTCAGTTTAACAAACAAACAAACCATACAGATATTCTGCAAGCAATGTCTTAGTCAAAGGACAATGACTTGGCACACAAAAGAGCTATAACACTTCGATACCCACATCAATTCCATGTTGAGGGGCTGGAGATGCAGCTCAGCAGTTGAGAGCACTTGCAGTTCTTGCCAAAGACCCAAGTTCAGTTCCCAGCACCCACACCAAGCAGTGCACAGCCACTTGTAACTCCTGTTTCAGGTGACCCGATGCTCTCTCCTCACCTCCTCAGACACCTGCTCTCACAGACACTTACTCACAGATTCACACATACACATCTTATTAAAAATAAGACAAATCTTTAAAACAATAAAGTTTATGTTCTAAAATTGCAGGCATGGTCTCGGAACTAGACACAAAAAGTCACTTACTAGCACAATTTCATAAACTATCACGACACTTAAGAAGTTCGATCTATGCAACTGGGGATGATGGAGGTCATATTTCACTAGTGTAGGGTCCTTTCCACCTCTGTCCACGGCCACTCACTAATTTTAGCATGCTAAAAAGAAATCGCTTTGAAAGTCACTATAATTGGACAACATTACTTTTTAAGCAGGATTAGATAAAACTTTATTTGACACGAGCAAACTACCTGAAAGACATGCCTTAAAAGTCTTCATTACAAAGCCGAATTATGTTGCTTAGAGTCTTCTTAGTATTTTTAAGTTCTTTTCCTTTTACACAACCATCACAAAAGCCTGTGGCTGTAAAGCATTTCTTCAGAGTACACTGTTTTCATAGAACCAATTTTCTTATTAAGAAATGAAAAGATTGCTGTCCACTGTACTGTCCGTGGAGCCAAGGCAGAAGAAATTCTGGAGAAAGGCCTGAAGGTGCGGGAGTATGAGTTACGGAAAAGTAACTTCTCAGAGACTGGGAATTTCAGCTTTGGGATTCAAGAGCACATTGACCTGGGCATCAAATATGGCCCAAGCATTGGGATCTACGGCCTGGACTTCTGTGTGGTGCTAGGCAGGCCAGGTTTCAGCATCGCAGATAAGAAGTGCAAGACAGGCTACATTGGGGCCAAAAACGGAATCAGCAAAGAGGAAGCCGTGCGCTGATTCCAGCAGAAGTATGATGGGATCATCCTTCCTGGCAAATCAATTTTATCCAAAAGGCCAATAAAATTTTTCTCAGGAAAAAAAAGATATGAAATTCTCTAAAATCCAGAAGCCTATGGGAATGGACAGCACAGACGCAGAGCAGATGTGACTGGCTGGACAGCTGATCTGATTTCACAACTCAGGAAATACTACAAACCCGCCGTGTGCTCTGAGAAATAGGAATGGCAGCAAGGCAGCAGGAAAACACCTCCCAGCCACACACTACAGTCTATAAAACTGGAGGACAAATTACCAACTTCAGCACAAGCATCACTAGAAGCTTCATTTGCTCTGCTGGTTAGCTCAAAGGGGAGATGAGGAAGAAGGATTTCACTGGGTAATAAATGGATGTGGTACTTGTCTCCTGGGAGGCTAATTTAATGTGCTGAAAATAAAACTTTAAAATATTTAAGATGAACAAATATCATTGGGAAATCTTTTCTTTTCTTCTCTTTTCTTTTTCTTCTTTTCTTCTTTTGCTTTTGAGACAGGGTTTCTCTATAGCTTTGTAGCCTATTTTGGAACTCACTCTGCAGACAAGGCTGGCCTTGAACTCACAGAGATCTGCCTATCTCTGTCTCCCGAGTACTGGGATTAAAGGCCTGTGCCACCACCTCCTGGCTATATAAAATTTTTTCTAAGTAGAAAAATTGTTATCCATATAAAGGCCCACATCAAAAAAGCAAGATATCTCATTTTTAAAAATCTAAATATGCATTTACTACATATTTTTCTGTATAAATACAAAACCATCATTTCTCTTTTATATTTCTTTATTTTTCATTGTTTTAATTATTTTTTTAATCTTTTCAACTAGGTGATAATGGCAAACACCTTTAATTACAGCACTTAGGAGGCAAAGGCGGGTGGGTCTCTGAGTTCAAGGTCAGCCTGGTCTACAGAGTGAGCTCTAGGACAGTCAGGGCTACACAGAGAACTCCTGTCTTGAAAAACAAAAACAAAATTAATTTTTAAGAATTTAATACATGAACATTGTAGTTACATCATACTCCTTAAAACATACCTGAATTGTGGCTTTATGCCTATCAAATTTTCTAATATAAAAATCAAAATAAAGCAGAACATCTTTTAAAGAATTGTTTTCTTCTGTGTGAGTCCCAGCATGATTATTTGTGCACTACACATGCAGGTGCCTGGCCAGAGGAGGGCATCAGATTCCCGGGAACTGGGAACCAGTTAGAGGAGGTGGTGAACCACCTGATTTGAGTGCAATGACCCAGGGTCCCCACAGGAGCAGCAAGTGTTCTTTATTTTTATTTATTTATTAAAAGATAAAAACTATCTTTTCTCATTTTACATACCAATCCCAGTTCCCACTCCCTCCCCTCCTCCCGCTCCTTTCACCTCCCCACTCAATTCACTCCTCAGAGAGGGTAAGGCTTCCCATGGAGAGTCAGCAAAGTCTAACACATTGCTCTGAGACAGGACCAAGACCATCCCCACTATATCTAGCCTGAGCAAGGTATCCCTCCAAAGTGAATGGGTTCCAGATACTCAAGTCAAGCCCAGTGTCACTTCCTTTGGGTCCAGATGTACAACTGTCAGTTATTTCTCCAGCACCATGTCTGCCTGCATGCTGCCATGCTTTCTGCCGTGATGACAATGGACTAGACCTCAGAACTGTCAGTCAGTCCAAACAAATGTTCTCCTTTACAAGAGTTGCTGTGGGTCTCTCCGTCAGCAGCACAGACCACAGACATCCTCGTGGTCCTCCATGGTAACGCAGTCAGTTTTCTTTAAGAGGCTGGTCACCAGGAGCTTGGCCATGGTCCAGTGAGTAGATGGGCAACACAAATTGGACTTTTTAAAATCAACTCCTTTTTCTTTTGGGACTGGGAGAGTCATAAGGTTTGTAGGTAGCAGACCTGGAAGGACTTGAGGTGAGTGTGCTTGGGGTCCGTGATGTAAAATTCCAAAATAATCAATAAAAATATCATGAAAAAAAGAGTTGCTATGATCATAGTCTTTTCACAGCAATAGAAACCCTAAGTAAGACATAGGCGGGAGATTTGGAGAACTACTTCACCAAAGAACAAATAAGAGTAATTAGTTGGCACAGAAGGCATCCATTACCATGCATCATTAGAGAAACGCTAAAATCATAATACACTGCTTCATACTCACTGGGACATCCAGAATTAAAAAGCACACAGCTAAAGTGTTTCCAGCCACAGATTTCTGCAGATGTTTGTATTTTTGGGTTTCAGTTAGTTTCTGAGATGTATAGGTTTATATTTTCACAAAATTTAGAAAATTACAATAATTGCATTGTTTTGTAGCATATAACAATAATTTTAAAAGAAAGCTGAGAACAACACTTTTCTCATGGTTCAGTGGAAATTACTTTTGGATTTGCACCAGACATATTAGAAGAAAATGAAGAAAAATTGTCCTTTGAGATTCAAAATATGCTAGGTTCTTATGTCTTTAAAATAATCAAGGGTTTTTGCAATATTGGCTTGGTTGATTTCCATTCTTCCTTTACCTAAGTACTTATCATTTTCTTCTTGCCCCATCACACCCACCTTCACACACCATGCAGTTATATCCCACCCTTCTCTACTTCAGAGTTTCTTCCCTCACAGAGAGATAGGTGGGATACGCTTCACAGTATATGTAGGCAAACGAGGTAAATGTGGGAAACCTTACTTGTCTGAGCCAAACCTCTTAGAAATGCACAAAGGACACACACACACGCATTCACACACATACACACATGCATGCACACACACACACATTAGAAATGCACAAAAGACAGACACACACACACATGCACGCACACACACATGCTCCTACTCACTACATCTGTGCACAGAATGCTTTATAAGTTAAACTCATTTAACCCTAGACCTTCTGACTTCAGATCGCCTCACTCTACTCCGTACAGTAACTGACAGGCTACACCTTACCCTTACCGCACCCATTTCCATACAAAATTATTAACTGTTTATCAAGGTGGGAGCTGCATTTGCGGAGTTCTTCACCACACAAGGATTTTCAGTCTTCACAGAGTGATTGACAGGATTGGGACAGTGACCCTAGCACAGCCTGGAAGGGAAGGAGCCGGCATACGATAGTGTTGGACTAGGAGTCACTGGTCAGAGCGCAATGCCCGTCTCCCTCTATTTTGTGGGAAATATTTACATTGTTTCGGTTGCCTTGTTTCCTGCCTTTTTTCTGAATCTAATACCCCGCTATTCTACAGGCTCTCTAAGAAACTTCAACTCCTTTTGAAATATCCCTTTCATTCTTAACTTACATACTACTCATTCCGGATTGGCAGACAAGGTATCTGACAAGTCAAAAAATCATCTGTCTAGTATTTTGTCACATTAGAAATGATCTTGATTAAATCAATTCCCCAAAGCTTGAATGTTAAAATCATTTGCACTAATAAGTGAGGAGGTCCTTAATACGCTTGAACAACTATGGCCTCTTTGAAATTTGAACCTGGATCCCAGATTGCTCCTATTTATGGAAGCTGGAGTTCAAGTCATTTAAGCTAATGTTTTTATCTAGTAATTTATATTCAAGAAATTAAGAGATTAATTTTTAATTTAGAAAAAGTAAAATCTAATAAAATGTTGCTCTCTACTCAACTAACTTCTGTATGAAATTTTAATGAACTATTTTGCATAAAATTTGACAAAATAATTTTAATTACTTCAATTGTGAATACTACCTACTTCAGATAATTTAATTAAAATATTCATATTCGCATATATCTTATAACCTCTTGCCTCTCCTTCAAATCTCATGGTTTTAGGTCTTTAAATGTTAGTTGTAATAATGCTAGTTCTTCCAAATTTAAAATTTCTATCTTTGCTATCTCTCTGGTACACAAAATTTCTATATCCAACTGTTTACTTAATTATCCTAAGTTTCAGCCTCATCCTTCCCCATCCTAATAAGTGTCTTTCCTGAAATTCTCTGCCTCTAAAATTGCATACTGTAGCTACATGGAGGGGAAAAGAAAAATAAGTTATGCTTGACTCCACTGTTTTTTCTCATAAAACCCAATCTATTAGCAACTTTCAATTGATGTGGGATTTCCTTCTGTATGCTGTGATTACCATTAATGAATTAAAAAAAAAACTGCTTTGGGCCTATCGATAGGGCAGAACTTAGGTAGGTGGGGAAAACTAAATGGAATGCTGGGAGGAAGAAGGCAGAGTGAGAGAGGCTTGCCATGGTCATGATATCTCTTCACAGCAATAGAACAGTAACCAGGACAGGTATTTGTGCCTTGATGGTTTTCTGTTTGGATGGTTTGATTTTGGTTTTGGTTTTGAAGAAAGGAAACATGAAGGTGGGTGGGTTGGAAGACAGAGAGGATCTGAGCAGAACTGGGGAAGGGCAAAACATGATCAAAATATATTGTGTGAAAAAATTTAACTAAAAACAAAGCTTGGTTAAAGCAAAAGAGAACAAGTCACTTATCTAACTATGAGTTAACATAATTGTGTTCACGCTGTGTCATAGCATTAGTCCTGGCATATATATACATATACAAATACGTGTATACATGTAAGAAATTAATCAGCTTATGTGGTAGCTCAGTGTGGATCCAGGCTAGGACACTGATGTCAAGGGAAAAGTGAATGAGGTAAAAAGAAAAAGGGTTGTATGTATGAATCTAACCTGATGTCAAACTATACAGAAATGAGATGAATCTGGAAATTCATCTGTGAAATCACTGACATGGAATTACGTCTCCTTAGCTTTGATCAGTACCAAGCTACTTGTGCCTTGAGTGGAGAACGAAGCCCAAGCCTGATTTAGAGCAACTTAAGGTAGCAGAGGATGGAGAGGCAGAGGCAAGGAATGGAAACAGTGCTCACACACTTCCCTATGAGGAGTGCTATAGACTGACCCTGGGGCCCACAGGCGTGCCTGCTCCACCTGTCTAAAGGTTGAGCTTAGTCCTGCCCTCTCAAAGTTGTTGACAACAGATGTGGCTATAAACAAGAGATCCAGACCTAGGGTGTGGTCAATTAGTATTTTCCCA